ATTATGAATAAAATGATACTTGCATGCAAAAGTTATTCTTCTATTTTTATTTTAGGTATGTTCTTTTAATCTGTTCTCCAAATGTGTGCTCAAAATTAAATATTTCATAATTTGATGCAAGCAATATGCGTGTCTATAAACATCTTTTGAATATATGTATATAAAATAGAAGCATTATCTTTCTTATAAAAACAAGAAATCTATATTTATTTTAGACATTATTTTTATTTAAATGTTTTATTATGTTACAGATTAATCTTGTACATATCTTTTCTGTTGTGAGATACAAGTTAAAAAAAGGGTTCAGATGAAAGAATCCGTAGCGTCTTTTCTAGACGCTAAGGAGGTCTAGAAAAAATATCGAGTGCTGTTGTAATAACTTTGCTGTTGTAATAAAGTGATGAGCATTATTGCTTACTTGCATAAAATTAGTCGTTTTTTTTTTTAGTAATAAATAACGTTTTTTGTTACTCACCGATTGATGGTGGAGTGTGAAAATGTCAGCTACGTATTATCAGCTATGATGGTTCTGTAACATAAATATTAGATTTAATTAGGTTATTTGTAATTAACGTACAATTATAACACAAAAATTATATCACAAATTAAAACGGAGCTCAAAATAGTTAATAAAAATAATATATTGAATCTTTTGACTTAAAAGTATGTCAAAGTATTAAAGTTTTTCTTTCTTAGACAATAAATCTCAGACAATAAAAAAAATATTTAGATTTAGATTTATATCTTACAATTAATAAAGATAAATAATTATATAGATATAAAAAAAGGATTATGGAAGTAATTGAGTTTTGATTACATTAAAGTTGCTGAAATAAATAAAAAAAGAATAAAAAAGAAAGTTGCCATAAAGTTGAAAATAAAATATTGACATTTTAAAAATATGAAATTTTTCTACAGATTTCTTTTTTACAAAAAGAAATAGTACAATATATTTATATATGTAAAATAAAAATAAAGACTATTCTCTTATAGAGAAAAGGATAGGTATTAAATAAGTTAGGCGTGTGTTTCCTTTATATTTATAAATACTTTTTGAATGTGTGTATAAGTAGAAGCATTATCTCTCTTATAAAAACAAGTAATACATATTTTAATAGTGCTGTATATTCATCTGATGTATAATATTGCATCTGAATTATTTATATACATATATATATATATATATATATATATATATATTTCTAATATATATATTAGAGATACAATATTATATATCAGATGAATATACAGCACTATTAAAATATGTA